TCAGTCATCTTACATCTGAAGCTATGCAGTCTTGGTACTGAAGGTGTCACTAAACAACATAGCAAAATAAAAGCAAGCCGGTCACAGTAGCCGCGCGGTCTAAGGCCCTCTCAGACAGTGGCGTCGTGGGTTTGAATCCCAATCGAAGTCTAGATGTCTGTCCGCGTTTGCGTTCTCCTGTGTAGGAAGCACGCAGAGGTCATACGTCAAGACGTATCACCCTTCAAAGGAGTCTTACCGGCTGCCTGTAAGATTCGCGGGTTCGGGTTATTCTTAATGGAAACAGTCCAGAAGGGGAGTTCAAGGACTGTCTGCACAGTGATGAGGTGGAGTGAGAGACAATTTTCAGGCATGCGGTTCCGCTTTCGGAACTACAGGCAAGGGAAATTATATCTCGATGCTGGACCAGACATCTGTAGCACTGCCCGCTATTTTTGTATGTCACGGGTTTCAGGAATGTCGAAACTAATCCAGCAAGAAAAAGACATTTTGGAGATTGTCATGTTGGAAAGTAAAGCCAGTGCCGCGGTTTGAAGTTTCTCAACAAGCTACATCTGACCGTACAGAACGTAAAGCTATCCCTTTAACAGACAGTGGAGGCCCAAAGGGTTCTGAGATGGCTGCCATATTTCTTAGACAATCAGCTCACAGATGGCGGTGAGGCTGTCAGGCTTACGCGGTGGTCGACCTTTACCCCCACGAAATTTCCTGGTGCTCATTCCTGTTAGAGGGTGAGTCGACCCCAGGACCATAGTGCGGTTGGAAGGATTAGGCTAATTAAAATATCCAGTGACCTCATCGGGAATCAATACCACGACCTCCGCCTCGTAGCATAGTGCCTCAACCAACTACGCTACCGACCGTAATAAGCGAAATGAATAATTTTTATAACACTTATCAAGAGAGCTCATTAATCTTGTTATGTATAATGTATTAACATGAGCTTGCGCAATGTATTATGTACTGGGTATTCTCAAGATTTATAAGGGAAATATAAACTGGTTATTTCCTTAAAAACAGAATCCTTCTTGAGAAGCTAGTAGTGCCTCAGCTACTCAAGATATCCCAAGCCTTTTACATAAGCTTAAGAATTGTTTTCTTATTGAGAAGACCCCTATTCAAGCCAGATTAGTCCGGTCCACATTAATCATTCTATTTATTTTAGATCAAAATTAATATTATCCTCGTGTCTACTCCTAGGATTTCCAAGGGTTGTTTCCAATGCAGACGCTCCGAACAAAATGATGTAAGAACATCTGCTCCATTCTCGTGCATCCATTTCATTCTCTCGGATTTGCAAGGAAAAATAAATCTTTCTGTTATCTGTGGAATTAAATAATGCCAAAAATAGTAAAAACAGGGTACAGAATAGAGACAAGTAAGGAATTGGAACATAAATATTTGGAACAAAAAGATCTTGGCCAAAAAGGAAAGATTCAAAAGAGAAGCACGCATGCAGAGGGTCCAGAAACAGGAAATAAAGTACAATCCAGCAAAGTTCATGGTGAAGAAACTCAGTTTTAATATCCGTGCTACTGCACTGGAATAAGAAAATCGTGGTTGCTCTCAGTTACATATCGTTGATGAAGTGACTTAAAAGAATACAACTCTCTAGGTTAATAAACTGATTAACTATACATTTCTCTATCTATCTATGGCTCTACAGTCGTTTGTCTATAGGATTCCTTGGACGGGGGATCAGACCGCCGCAAGGCCGCTACCTACACACAGAACAACACAAACACAGAATAAACGCACACAGATATCCACTCTTTAAGTGGGATCCGAACCCACAATCCCAGCGTTCGAGCGAGCGAAGACAGTTCATGCCTTAGACCGCGCGGCCACTGTGATCGGCGATTAACCACACATATGATACTAAAATTAAGTAGGTTCGTGAGTATTTGTTTTCATAGCGGTTATGCTAAGTAATGTGGTAAAATCGGTAACGTCTCTGACTTGAATTTCAGAGGTGCCCAGCTCGAATCCCGGCTGGGACACCTACAATTCTCAGGTTATTTTTAGTTTCCTCGGTGTGCTCCATGCAAATGCTTCGACATATTCTCGCGCACCCGTCCAGATAATCATTAACTAACCAGTTATTCAAGGCAGCGTCATAGCTCAAGCGGTTAGTCGCTGGCTTCCAACCTCGGCGCCCCGGGTTCGATCCCGGACAAATATTTTTTCCGAGTACTTCGGTTTCCCCTGCCGATCTTCATTCCACCAGTTGCTCCACAATCACCCTCACCTATCATCTGGGCCTGGTACAATAGGCCAGAAGTGGCCGCAGTACAAGGGACTTAGTCCCACCCCACTAGCAACAATAAAACAGTTATTCGACGCTATAAACACGTGACAATACATACATAACAAATAAACTACGGTGAAATTTCAGAATGTGTTCGTCTGGGTTTTTATTCAGTGTAATCTGATATGTGGCTATCCCCTTTTCACTGGCTTGTTTCAATCCAAAGCATCTTCCTAGAATAAAAACTTATTTATCCCAAGAGGCTGGAACAGAATTTGTTGAATTTCTTGGCCTCCCATATTCAGCATATGTTCTACTGCCACGTGAGCCCCAAGGCACTGCACGTCCACAAAACAGAACCAGACTCATCCGACCTGATAAGCTTGGGAGCCAGAGGCCTTATATCGCATCTATTTCGCTGGATATAATTGACTCGGTCTGGCATTGAAGCCCGTAGGCATCATTCAGTTTGTTGAGATGTGGAATGGTTGCTGAATAATCTTAGTTGATGTCTGGAAAAATACACAAGCACCGGTATGTACTAAAACTACGAGGAGAACTACGCCATAATGCATTCAGTCAACATTTCATTGTAGTATAACGAACGATTGTTTATGTACTCGTATATATGCAATCGCACTACGTGTAGTCCAGTACTACGAATTTATATAGAAATACAGTGCTTAAACAACTGATGATTTTAACAAAAAAAGAAAACTATACCGACCTGGCGACCGCCCATTGTCGATGAAGTTAATGTCAACTTAAGCCGAAAGAGGGTGTCGCGTGGTCAGCGCAACAAATCCCCACTGCTGTTAGTTTCGGTTTCTCTAGACCGGAACCGCTATTTCTTTGAAATAGCTCCTCAATTATTCTCACGAGGCTGAGTGGACCACTTTCCATGCGCGCTACTTCTCAGAAAATCTGATATCGCCGGGAATCGAACTCGTGACCTCTGGATCTGCAGCCAGGGACTCTGACCACTAGACCACAGAGACGGTCTTGATGATTTTAACAACTGTAATACTTACATTTTACAGTTTATGTCGCTACTGAGCAGGTAATAGTTTATCTTTTATTATTTTATATATTTCCCGTAATTGCATTGCTATTGCATAACCTATACCTACCTCGTATCCTATTTTACCACATGATCTTAATCTGATCTAAGTAAATACATGTGGAGGGGAATCACCGTGTAAACATGGCCAATTTGACAGATTCAAGCAGATGATAGATAATGAATGTACGAATTTATTGAAGATGGCCTCTACGGCAGAGACATGTAGCTAAATAAATATATAATTATTTTTATATGAGCCTTACTGACGGAACTGCTCACAAGTGTACTATACTATACTATACTATACTACACTACAACATTCCACGATTTGTGTACTTCTCTTACTGTGAGTGTCCGAGTGAGTGTCGTACAACACAGATAAGGTTACGATTCTCTGTATTGTAATCTTTAAGCTTGTATACAACAGACGGGAAGACAAATGTTCTGAAATAAACGGTAGGAAATATTTCTAGAAATTTAATCTTCCCACGTGTTCTTACTGCCTTTGTTTCTCTCTCTCTGTCGCCCTTTGTTAATTAACTAGAAATTTGTCGTACTTGTGTTGTTTTATTGCCTTTAATTAGATTTTCTTTATAAAGAAGGAAAATAACTCCTTGTGTGTAGGTGAGATATATCGATCCGTCTGCCTGTGACCTCATATAAAACACGTGACAAACTGAAATATTTAACACACTATATGTACAGTACCCCGGTCACGGTAGCCGAGAGGTCTAAGGTATGTACTGTCTTCGCTCGCTTGGAAACCGGGATCGTGGGTTCGAATCCCACTCAGGGCATGGATGTTTAGTTTGTGTGTGTGCGTTTTTCTGTGTCTGCGTACAGGTAGAGGCCTTCCGACGAGCTGATCCCCCGCCCAAGGAGTCCTACCGAATGTGTAAGATCTAGAAGAACCGAAGTGAACGTAGAAGTTCATGGAGTAGGCCTAGGCCCATTGAGGCTGTAGTGCCAAGGGAAAAAAGAAGTATGTACAGTGCGTGAGAGATATTTTCTGAAAACTGATGAGAAGTTTAAATATGTCAAATTTAAATTTTCAGCGATGCTGTCCGTAATATTTTCCAAAAATGTTATAAATGAAGAAGCGGGCAGCAATTAAATATAATAAACAACAAACAGCGACGCTGGGAATTTTTTTCACTACTTTATATAGTCCGCTATTTACAGAGTTTTGTATTATAGCTTTACTTAGAGTACTTACTGTTTTAATAACGTAAGTTTTAAAGATCTTACTCGATTGAATTGTTTCTCGCAAAGTCAGTTTCCACAAAACTTAAACATAGAAAC